CTCTTCTGACTCCAGATCAAGGGCCCAGAGTTGTCTATGAAAAACAAATCCTATGTGCAACATCTCACCTCATCTCCAGAACAACACTGCAAGACAGAAAAAACTGAGGCATAGAGAGTCTGAAGCTCATGACTCTTACATAGGTGGTGGCCTGGGTCTTGAACACAGGTTTTAGCCTCTAAAGCTCATGCTCTTCCCCCGAGCCAAGCTTCCTCCAAGCTGCACATGCTAAAACAGAATTTCTTCCATCTGTTGTTTGCAGTCAGGTTGAGTAAATCACTGTTAAGTACACAGAGTAAAATGTCCTAATACGCTTGCTTCATTCTCCACCCCTGAACTCCACTCTCTTCCAACTGGGACAGGAGCTATGAGATAGGAGAGGTCAGGTCCTGAACACTGTGGAGCCTGGATCAGGTCAAAGGCTGAGTTTATTGTAGGCCTGTTTCAGGAGAGCTTTCTCACTCAGGAATTATTTAAAGCTAAGTAGGTTTGTCCCAATTTAGACCTTAAATCTTACTACTACTAATGTGTTACTCCACATAATCTTTTCACATTGACAAGGCAGTTTTAAATCTCATTTGAGCTTCCTGACAACTCAGTTAAATAGAAAGGGTGGATATTACTGTTCCTAATGGATGACTGCATACAGCATGGGACAAATCTGGGATCTGAGATTCAGGGCTCAACGTCACTGTTCTTTACTCTGTATCATAAACCATCACTCTGTGGTGGGAGAGGAGGATCCATGTGCCCACTCCTGGATTCTTGGTGGAACAATAAACGAGAACAATCTCTCAAAACGNATCCATGTGCCCACTCCTGGATTCTTGGTGGAACAATAAACGAGAACAATCTCTCAAAACGGAATCACCTAAAACAGTCATGTCATACAACACGGAAAGCAAATACTCTCTATAACTAGATGATTTTTCCCATTAGAAAGCCACACGAATAAAACTGAGACATTCTCATTTTCTGTTATTGCCTAACAGAAAATGTTAATATTAATACTACAATATATTCCAATGGAATATTTAGTATTAGAAAACAAAAAGGCTAGACACACAGGTTAGAACCCTTGAGGCAGATATTAACCAGCTAGCTATAATTAGCAGAATGCCAGATTCTCCCACTGAGAGGAAGGATTGTGTTCCTCAACCAGTCGTAGCCAAAATC